ACACTAGTGCTCCCTGACAGGAGGAGGGCATCTGGAGAGGTAAGAAATATCACTTAATTTCAAGGTGGTTCTGGTAGGAATGCTTGTAATAGATGAGATGCAGATCCTCACGATTAAATGTGCCAAAAGTACTGAAACACACCACCTTTTCAGAATGATAGAAATGGACCACAGACATAACATTAATCCCTGGGGGAAATGAGGAGGTTTTGTGTTGTTGTGAGACTGCTGGTTTACAGATTTGCATGGTCGGGTTCTCATACAGCCTACATTAATTTGTAAATAACACATAGGACTGCAGTTATTATGATGTGTTGTCCCGGTGCCACAGCGAATGATACGACATTGTGAATTAGACATATTTTTTGTTGCCTATGTGGATTCTTGGTATACTGACTAACTTTGACTATTAATAATTGAAACTGTACTGCGCCCTAGTAGACCATAAACTGGTTGGGAAACATAAATGCAAGGTTCAACTTGAACTAAACTATGAAATAAGAAAGTTTACCCTTTTGTTAGCTTATCCTCAAACATCAAAAGTCTCATTTGCTAACAGTAGTATAAAGGAAAGCTTGCTCAGACAACTAGTGATGAAGCTGATCCTAACAGTGCAGAGTTTCTGCATCTGGTCCTCCTCGTCTGACAAATGTCCAGAGTCATTGAAAAGACATGTTACTATATATCATTTGTACTTTATTTTTAGAGTAGAGAAATTGTGGTCTGTGTGTTTTGCATGCTTGTACACACATATATGTGTTTTTCCCCTATGCCCCTATCTACTAGGGTTGTTACGTGTGTGTAAAGCGAGTAACTGTCCGACTGACAGTGTTACTTGTGGTCTGTGCTCGCTGATATAGCTGAGGTGATTCAGTGGGCCATGAATGGCTGCAGCTAAGAGAGAGAGAGGGAGGGGGGGAGAGAGAGCCTGCGGCTGGTGTGCAGTGAATCACAATCTACAGCCAGTCAGGTGGGGTTGGGGCACTTTGCTTCAACAGAGATCTTTATTCATTACAGAAGAAGGTTACTGGTTTTCATTTGATGGCTTTTTGTGTTTGAAAAATACCAGGCAGCGATGTAACGGTGTATACAGTTTGTGTCTATATACATACATACATACATACATATATTCTATACACTAGCTTATGTACAGATTATTCCCCTTTGACTGACTAAAAAATAGGTCATATTCTATCACATGTGTGAAGGTCTGCATGCTAGGCTTGTGGGCTGATTCTCTGTTGAACACTGTGCGTTGCCCATAGCAACACATGATGATGAGATCCACCTCTCTGAATCTACTGGTTTCACTGACAAGCATGCGCTCAGCGGTCTTAGCAACAGCAGCGGAAGAGGATGATGGAGGGAGGGAGGAGGGAGAGAGCAGTAGCGGAGGGGGGAGGGGAAGTGGCTTTTGTATGGCTCATCTAGACACCTCACAATATTTAATGAAAATGGGTTTATTTAGATAGAAACACATGGATTATATCAGTGAAATCTCCATTGTAAATCAGGCAACAGATGGTGCAGATATAGAAGCAATAGTGAAGGCGGGAATAGTTGAGCTTCTAATTAGATATTTTATAGTGTGGAGATAATCTTTTCTCTCAAACAACTGGGTCAACCTTAGATTTACTACCTAGAAAATGTCGGAAAAACATGTATTTTAAACTGTCATTAAGTGTGTCTTTGTTGAAAAGTTGATGGCATATTTCTGACCCACTGAGCAGCATATGAAGTAAAGCAGTAAGTGGAGTATGAATGCAGGAAGGGAAAGGATCAGTTCAAATTCAGAGTAAGGCAGCAGCCCGGCTTTATGAAGGAGAAATCAACACACTTTCTCTGCAGTTCCTCTGTCCAGTTTTATTCAGTGAGCTACTAGATAGCAATGACTGCCTCTCCGTGTGTATTTGTGCATGCATATTTTATGTGCACATGTTTGTGTGTGAGCTGAAAGTGTGTAAGGCATCATGTGTTCTGCAATACAGCAGCAGTGCTAAGCTGTGCCTGGACAGCAGATGCCCAGAAAATATTTATTGATGTGATTAAAAATGCATCTCATTAAACCTAAAAAAGTGCAGGGTGGTGTCAGTGGATCACATTGTTTGTCTCCTGTTTCACTGTGAGTTGGTTGTATGTGAGAAAAAGTAGCCTCTTACTGAATTGTATATCACTGCACTTTTGTTACATTGCCATTTTTGGGAGAGAAAAAAAAACAGAGGCGAGAACAGGAGTGGATGAATCGAAAGTAGGTTCATGAGCTGCATTCAGAATGCATGCACATGTGAGGTCCACTGATGTATCAGCACATGTTTGAAGTTAGTACTTCTATTGTTTGTAACTAGGTGCTTTTGATTTAGATTTAAAGATTACAGTACAACAGGACACTGTACAATGAATACAGCATGTCTATCATAGTATATTTTCACTCTGTATGCTCTCTTTGGCGGGGGTGTGGCTGCTTGCTCCAGTGGCTTTGTCTGTCTGCCTGGCTGGCTCAGCAGATCAGTGCAATTGTGTTTGCATGCTGAGTATCTGCACTGAAAACCATTCACAGTGCAATGAACCTTGTTGTGTGTCTGTGTATGCTGTCTTTGTTAAGAGGGTGAGAGCATTTTCCTCATTAAACTATATTCACTGTCACAGGAAGACAGGGTAAGAGGACAAGCTAAATGTCAGAGAGAGAGGAGGAGACAGCTGTCACAGCAAGACTGTTTGTACTGTTGTTTCAGCAGCTTGAGATGAGGGACTTTTCTATGTGGCTACTCTTCTTCATTCACACATGTACAATGCTGACAACTCTAACTCTTCTCCCTGTGTCACACTCTTGTCCTTGGTTTCTAACTTTTCCTGCATCTTCCTCCCTGACCAATTTACCCGGATTTTGTGTAAACCTTTCAAAACTTGTCCTGTTGTATTGTCTCATTTTTATTTCACTGTTAATGTTCAACTCCACCTGCAAAACTGCATACCTGATCTTTCATGTTTTTGTTAGATAATGCAATGTCAATGTTACTCTATAAAACAACATTCCTTGCAGTACTCCATGTTCCATTCTGCCTCTGCTCTGTTTTGTTTCAATGGCAATTTTATTTATAGAGTACATTTCACTGCATGGAAACTCAATGTGATTTAAATTAAAATACAAAATATAAAGATATAAGCATAAGTCAATGCAGTGTTTCATGCAGCAGTCTGCTTTTCCAACCTCTGTTTATTGAGCTTCACTCTCTGTTTCCACACTATTTCGTTCCTCCTTCTTTACCCTCTATATTGCTATCACTCTCAGTTTTCCCCCTCCCCCATTCCAGTCTTGGCCTCCTTTTTTCCGCTTTTATGTCTCTGTCCTTCGTTTCCTCTTTCATATGCCACCCTTTTCTGTCTCGCTATCGTTTTCTGTATTTTCTTTCTGTAGTCTATCTACTCTCTCCTTCTGCCACATGCTCTTTAGCTCTGTGTTGCTGTTCCTCATGCCTGTAGGGTTGTGGCTGTGGATGCTGCATGTGCTGTTGTGTGTCAGTAGGGCACATTCTCTCTTATTGCTCCAGCTTTGTTGGAAGATGGCGCCACTCACATTGAGGTCAGCAGCAGTGATGGTAATCTAATTTACACACACAGTAGGGTACAACGAAAACAGCTACTATATTTATGTTCACACTTCACACACACACACATGCTTGTGCTCATACACACACACACACATCACACATACTCTCATATGGCTTATCCACCTTACTGAAAAGCACTTTCACAGCAGAAAGGGGGCTGAATGGATAGAGGGAAAGACATGCAGAGAACAAGAAAACAGAGCATAAGGAGAGCATGCTCCCTTGGAGATATAGTGCCTTGCCGAGAGAACAAAAGACACCTCCACTGTGAGACAATTATATCAATCAAAGCCCTGTGCCACAAATCTTCTGTCCTGCATTGACTAAAAATAGAATATCATAAGGTTATATCATGTGCTATCTATGATTGACATTTTGGTCAATAATTCCGTGTAATTACACAGATAATACATCTGTTTAATGCCAAGGCTAAATATAGCTTCTGCATGCTTATTCTCTCTTGCTCTTTATACTACATAAAATTAATGCATGGTTGTTCTAGCCAGATTCAATCTGTGGCCATATCTCTACTGTTGTACTTTGCTAACTTCAAGTCTCGATATACTTTGTTTTTCATTCTGCTCTGTGTGTTAAACATCAATCTATTATGATGGTGTCTTCCTTTGTCCCACAAGGTCAGTAATTTGATAGATTATATTACATTCGGCTCTCTTTTCCCATCTTCGTTTCAGTTTCTTATTAGAAAAAACAATCACAAGCATCCGGTCTGGCTAACAAACACCATGCATGATTTAAAACACTGAGTTGTGGAAGCAGATAATTAGTCATGTATATAATGTTCATACGTATAATTTTACCCCCTTTAGCAAGATATATAACAAGAGAACATGCAGCTTAGGTCTGACACTGCCCATACTGATTTCTTAAAGAACCCTGATATTTTGGTTTCTCCTGTACTGGCACAGCACACAAATAGTGTACAGTTAGGTCTGGCAGTGAAGATCATTTGCTTGTTATTAAGATTTAGCCATAATGGGTTTACCATACTGGAGTATTAGTAAACGTTTCTATTCTTTATTGCTGAGCATTTTTTAATCAGCAGTCACTTACAGTTGACAAGGTCGACTGGAGAGGTATTTTTCACTAATTAAGTTAATGTGTCCCAGGGAATGGAGGAAAGGAAGTGATACATCAACTTTGGTTGTTGACTATTATATTGGTATTGTGTTGGTCAGTAATTAAATGAAAACCTGCTGTTGTGGTGGCAGAAGAATCAGCAGCAGACATAGGATATTTTATTGAATGAAATAAAAGCCTGATTAAATTCTG